ATTGTTATTTATGGGCCCCCACCCGCCGTGCATGGGTGTGGGCTGGGGGAGGGCAGTAGGTCCCCCCTTTACATTCTTATTTAGGACCCCCACCCACTGCTCGGGGGGGGTGGTGGGGGGAGGACAATAGGTCCTCCCCTTATTGTTATTTATGGCCACCACCTGCTGTGTAGGGGTGGGGGCCAGGGGGAGAACAGTAGGTCCCCCCCTTATTGTTATTTAGGGCCCCCACCCGCCGCGCATGGGTGTGGGCTGGGGGAGGGCAGTAGGTCCCCCCTTACATTCTTATTTAGGACCCCCACCCACCACTCGGGGGGGGGGGCAGTGGGGGGAGGACAATAGGTAGGTCCCGGGAGGACAATGGGTAGGTCCCCCCCCTTATTGTTATTTAGGGGCCCCATCCGCCACGCAGGGGTGGGGGCCAGAGGGAAGACAGTAGGTCTTAGGACAATAGTTCGCACCCCATTATCCTTTAGGGTCCCCACCTGCCGCTCAGGGGTGGGGGCTCTAGGGATAATAAGGTGTTTTTTTGTTTGTTTTTTAAAGGCTGCTCACTGTTTACTAGACATGCCCCTACTCGCGGTATAGCGAGTAGGGGCAGAATTTACTAATACTAAGTAATCTTTACTTAGTATTAGTAAATTTGGCTGAAAGTCTAATTTAGGTCTTTCAGACTTTTGGTAGATAGCTCCCTGATACCCTGGGTATTAGGGAGTTATCTGCTAAGCGGCTGCAAGATGCAGCCACAGCACGAATAGGATCGGAGTTTCATTCATTAGAATGAAATTCTGATACGAGCAAAGTCCCGAATTGCGTTCTAAACTGTTCTCATTCTGTTAGGACGCAGTTCGGCAGTTTTGCCGGTGCTCTGTCTAAGTGACAGGACGTTCGGCAATACTGACAGGAAGCATCGCGGGAACAGGGAGGAAAGCTAAGAATTATGGGAAAATTTCTCTGACCACTGGAAACGAAGCACACTTTACTCCTCCGCTGTTCATAGCTGGTCATGGTGTAGGAAACCTCCAGAAGAGATATAGTCCCTACTTTGTCTTATGTTTTAAAGAAAACTAGAGCAGACAGGAAGAAATGAATAAGATCTTGACAGAGGGAGAGAAGAGGAATCAATTGGGGAAAGGTAAATTTGGCATGACAGTGCCGCTTTAATCCTAATCCTAAATCCAACCCTAAATCAAATTATAATCTTCACCCCAATACTAACCGACGTCATAACCCTAAAATATAACCTAAATCCTAATCTCAATCCTAAAGGGATGCCCGTGCTAACCCAAATCCTAATGTGAAACCTAATCCCAATACTAAAATTAATTAAAAACCAAATTTTAAACATAAACGGAATAATAAACCTAACAATAAACCTAATACTTATTCTAAACCGAATAATAATCCTTAATTTTAATCCTTATAATGTCATGGCCGATTCATGGGGTTTTTTTTTTTAACCCCCCCTCCTGACTCCACTTCATCTAACTGACCCCTTAGTCACCCCCCAAATGCCCCTAAGCCCCCAATATTACCTATTTTTTAACTTTATTTTTTGCCCCGATCTATATTCAGGGCGCCACCATCTTTGTGTGGGTAGAGGAAGTCCCTGTGGGACACGTCATCTACCCACACTAGATAATGCTGTGAGATTCCCGCACATGCCCAGTTAAACACTTGGGCATGCAAACGGGAATTTCATCTATTCATTCGTCAGAAAGACGAATAGATGACTAGAAATTTCAGATGAACAAACAGTGAATATCAGTGTTTGTTCGTTCAGTTTATTACAAGGAGGGAACTACCGGCGTGCAGCTCCCTTCTTGTAATATGTAAAGATAGAAGCGGCAGGGAGCCCCCCATGTTCTCCCTCACTCTATGGGGGTCAATATGACCCCCATAATAACATACGGGAGATTAAAATCTCCCGAATATCCCTATTGGCTATACCGCGAGTAGGGGCATGTCTACTAAACAGTGAGTTGGGGGGCTTTTTTCCTCCCCCGCAGCCCCCTCCCCTGCACGGTGGGTGGGGGCCCTAAATAACAATAAGGGGGAGAACCTATAGTCCTCCCTACCTGGCCCCCACCCCTGCACGGCAGTTGAGGGCCCTAAATAACAATAATGGTAAGTTTTATCTTTCATTACAGGTTAGTTATTTTATTCAAAAATACAGAAATGAGGGAGAAGCAACCTTTAAAAAAGAGAGCAAATCCCCTCAAAACCTATTAATTTCTTCATCCAAGTCCCCATTGACTGTTTTTAACTGTTCTTGTTCAAATTTGCAGATAATCTGCATAAATGTTTTTGAGCAAGTCCCTGCTGCTGCCTCCCATTCCTTCATTAATGCCATATTTTCAGAGTGAGAGGATAGAGTATTTCTTACCCTTAAACCTCTAGGTATCATATCCTTTTTTATATAATTATCCAAAGAGGAGATCTCCCAACAGGTACGAATCTGTTTTTATATAAACCCTGAAGTTTGTTAAATGATTGATTAACATTGGGTACAGCCGTGTTGGGATTAAGTTTTGTATTAGAAAATACATTATCCGCGTCTCTACACTAAACACTGCTGTCCAACCTATTAGATAAAAAACCTGCCATAGTAAAATTATTTTTGTTCAATACTAGGTTCTACCACCAGGTGAGGGGTACTGCTATGGGGACAGCTTGTGCCCCCTCATATGCAAACCTCCACCTGGGGTGGTGGGAACAAGAAATCTTCTCTTCAGAGGCCTTGAAGGATTATCTCCCTAAGATCTTATGGTGGGGACGCCATATCGATGATATTTTGTTGATATGGCAAGGGACCTCACAGGAATTTGCAGATTTAGTAGGATGTCTAAATCAGAACACCGAGAACCTCAGATTTACATCTGAATATGGGGGCGTTCAATTAATTTTTTAGACATCACTATCTCCATAAACGAGAATGGGACATTTCACTCTACTCTTTTTAGAAAACCGACTGCTATGAATTCCCTCCTCCATTGGAGAAGTTACCACCCAAGGCCCCTTAAGGAGGGGATCCCGGTTGGCCAATACCTTCGCCTCCGTAGAAATTGAAGTGACGTTACCGACTTTAAAATAAAGGCGACTCAACTCAACCTATTTTAAGGAGAAAGGCTACCCAAATTGCTGCCTTTAAAAAGCATATAAGAGAGCCCTCGAAACTGATAGAAATTAACTTCTTTGTGACCACCCTGTGAAGAACAATCCCAAAAATATGGGTAATATCTGTATGATCGCTACATATGATACAGGATGGTCTGAAGCAAGGAAGTACCTTAATAGATTTTGGCCGATTCTTTTGAACGATATACATTTGAGGGAAGTCTTAGGTCCATGCATTAATATCACTGCTAGAAGAGGTCGCAATATTCGCGACCTACTAGTACCAAGCCATCTGTCTATTAACCCCTTAAGGACACATGACATGTGTGACATGTCGTGATTCCCTTTTTTTTACAGAAGTTTGGTCCTTAAGGGGTTAAACCACAGCCGAGAGACACATGGCTGGGCAATCCTCCATGTGGTTCTTATGGCTGTGGTAGATGCGTAGCTTGCAAATATATCTCTAAAGAATCTAAAATAGTGCATGATAGTACAGGCCAGGTTTCAATCAGAATCAAAAACTTTTTTAATTGCAATACAAAGGGTCTGGTTTACTTGTTGTCCTGTTCTTGTGGACAAATATATGTAAGCAAGACATTTAGAGCCTTTAAGGAAAGGATTATGGAGCATGTAAGGTCCCCTAAGAACGCCTAGAAACACCCATCTCATGACACCTTAAAGAACACCATCAGGGTGATTCCAGCAACTCTAAATTCTGTGGTCTGGAATGGGTTAAGAGACATCCGAGGCGTGGAGACTATGATCGATTATTAAGACAGAGAGAGTCTAGATGGATTTTTAGACTTAAGACTTTACAACCTCTTGGCCTGAATGAGGGATACTCTTTTGCCCCCTTTATCTGAGCTATATATATTCTATACTCCTTAATCTAGGTGAGCAAGTTTATACTAATCTGATTGAATATACCTCTTTTTCTGCAATAATAATAATCTTTTCTATAATTTTCTTTACAGTCTTTATTATATATATTGGTTCTCTAAATATACGAGAAACTTTATATTCTTTACGTGTACCTGATTGATTTAGTTTATTTAGGTATTGTGTACTCTTTAATTATGATTTTTGTTTACTTTGAGATATAGGGGGGTAAATAATCCTTCATATAGATTTTCTAATAATTACCAATGTGTCCCTGGAGTTGGAAAGACCTTCGGGTCTATGCTATTATTTTTGATCTTTGAATTTATGTCTGGTATATCTTTTTAACTCTAATTCACCCTGCCTTCTTTATTACTCTTCTATACTTCTTTTTTACTATTTGTCCCCTTTTCCCCTTACTTCTCTAGTATTCCCCAGGCCAATCTGTATTATCATGCGATCATCACATATATCACAATAGTATATACTATGCTTCAATTTGTTGTACAATCTGTGATGCCATGTATTTAATTATAGGGAGCGCTGGGTTATAATCATTTGGACTCAGCTTTGTCTGCTGCGCCGAATTATGTTGTGTGCATGCACGATAATTTTGACTGTACGCATGCGCGTTCTCTGGCAGAATGCCAATTTCTGGGACCTCCCACCGTCGAACTTGATTGGCGAGGTGAAACAGAAACACAGCCCACTCACTACAGGTGGGTTTTTGGCGCCAGTTTTCTGTATAAAGGGAAGGGGATGTGGGGACTGTAGCAGAACCAACCTCGTCACTGTGAAGAAAATAGACTTTTGCCTGTTATTTTCTCCCTTTGTTATTCAGTACTTTTTTTTTCGTATGGACTTGTATATTGAATGGATTACTTTGGTAGTTTCAAACTACCGAACACCGACCACCCTCCTGGATCATTGACTTCAAAGACAACTAGCTATTAAGTGCTCCCTGGGCGGCCGCTGTTCGTATAACCGAACGTCACGTGGAAAAGAAAATGGCGGCCATCTTGTTTGCACGAGGAGAGCCAGCGGGACTTGGTCGTCGAGTGCCTGGAACTAAAATCAGACACTCGACCTCACGAACTGCCGCTGGAAACTACCGAATGCCGGCTTCTCATACTTCCCGAACAGCCAGGAGAGCGTCATTCGGTAGTTCTGTGCGAACGGACCAGGGGAGCAATCGCTACTATGAACCAGGAGAATCCATTCGGGACTTTTATTCGTTTTTTTCGTTTTTGTAAATTGACCGACCGCACACGCTGAATTCGTGGAACTGTTTTGGGCAGGAGCCGCGTGTGTGGTCGGACCCTCACCCTCAGTGGATATGTAATTTGTGGGGATACCTTGTGGGGAAAGGGGTGTTCTAAGTTTTGGGGAAATTGTGTGCTCTCTGCCTGGAGATAATTGGTTTATTCCTTAACTTATCTCAATATCTCCCAGGCAGAGAGGAGGCGTGTAACACTGTAAATTTGTGTGATGATTGGCTGTTGCTTTTGTTTGCTGTGCGAGGTCCTCTTGCAGGGGATTTCTCATAAAAGCCTGTGTGTTTCAATAAAGCTCATTCCTGTTGCACCCTTCATGAAGTCTAGGCTCATGTTTGGGGGGATATTCTACTTGCTGGGAAGAAACACCTTGGAATTGCAGTTCATCTCTCTCATTCCTCTACTCCCTGCTGCAGCTATAATCACTCCTACTCAGCTGTGGGGATAGAGAAGTAAGACTGCAGCACCATAACCACTGCAGGTCTTAACAGCCACTATGCACTGGAGAAGCCTGGTTGCCCGCCTGCTGCCCTTAGACTATGGCCCCATGTTAAAAGGCTTGATTTTCCCCTGCGAAGACACGAAAGCCGGGTCATTCGGTGCTTGCCCTGTTTGAGCGGTGATACACCAGATAGCTATGCCATGGAGCCCATTAGTATAATGAAAGACTATGGGAAAGACTTTGGCTCCATGGCAATTGAACAGTATGTGTGTGCTCTGAGCGCCATTCAGTAATAATGTGCGCTCAGATCTGAGCTATCTGGGGATATGTTGAATGTACCTGTTTTGTGCAATGGCTGCACAGTTATATGTTTTTATATGTTTTATTGTCTTTTGCTGCCATGTGTTCAATGGAGTTTTGCCTCTGTCCTTGGAGATAATTGGATTACTTCCCAATTATCTCCAGGATAGAAGACTCTGTGGAACTGGTTTTGGGCAGAAAAGCCATGCTTCATTTAGTCACAAAGGACTTCAATCTATCTTTTGAACCAATGGACCAATTTGGATGATTTTGGCATATGTTTGTATTTGGAGTATGATGATTCTGAACGTGATGTATACTTTTCAAGTTATGAATAATGTGGAAAAACTGTATTTCTCTGGCTGTGATAATTGCATTACCCATTGTGTAAGGTAATTGTATCACAGGCAGAGGGGAAGATTTTGTGTGGGAGTGTCTGAGTGTATTGTACAAGTTGATTGGTTGTTTTCCAAAACCCTGTGGGTGATACTAATGTGTAAGAATGTGTACATAAGAACAATAAACCCACAGCTCTGGCAGATTCTGCTTAACCCTCAAACGAAGTGTCATCTCATTATTGGGGGAATTGGATTGTATGCTGACTGCCAGGAATTTAAACCTTTCGTATGGTTTTTCCTGTTTAGCTGTTTCCAGTATTTGTGAGTTTCCTGTTCGGGACTTGGAGAATTTGTGTAGTTTGAAGTTCGGGAGATTGGTGATTGCAGTAGCTGTCTGTGCATCTGAAAGGGGAATATCGCCTAAGCGGTTTTTAACCTCTTGTTGGCAAAACGGTCCGTTACAGAGACAGTGTTTGCTTACTGATGCCCTTGAGAAAGGCAACCATTATCACCGAAATGCGCGTTGGGCTTGGGGGGTGTGGGTGCTTTTTTCACACTCTGCAGACTGCTTCTATTTAAGTCTGTGATATTTCCATACGAACCCTCTCTATTGTTTCCCACTTTATTTTTCATCTATTTGCCTCTCTCTATCCTTTCGATTTACTAATCCTGCCGATATATACCGAGCTAATTTAGCTAGATACATTTAAAATTCATAGTAAGCCATCAGGATTTAGTTTGTTATAGATTCTCAGAGGCAATATAAACCCAAAGGGGGGGAGGGGGGGGCTTTACTTATAGGTGTTTAATACTCGATTGATTTGGAGGAACCAGAATCTATTTCAGCTAGTTTTCATTACACTATAAACATGTAAGCTTTATGGATACTTTCGCTACGTATATTGTTACACTCTTTGGTAGCTATTTTGCTACTTTTTGAGTGAGTGATTTATTTACTTATTATCAAGTTTACTAATTTGTATTTATTTAAGCTGGAATACATTTCTTAGTGTTCCTCCATCTCCAGGTTAAGCAGTCTGGTGTATTTTAGACATGTGGTGTTTAGGTTTTTTCCAATTACTAATAAAACTTTATTATTTTTTTGTACTTTGTCTGATACACAGTTGTTTGCAAATGTATCTATATTGCCCTAGTAGGGGTACTGGTTTTGAGTGGATTTGCTCTCTTTTTTAAGGGTTGCTTCTCCCTAATTTCTGTATTTTTGTATTTCTGGAAGGTTTAGGGTTAAGCCCTTTTAGTATCCCTGTAACCCCTTTTTCTGTACTTTTTGCTGGATTTGTTCTAGCTAAGAGTATATTGTGTTTAGATTTTATTTAGTTATTTTATTCCCCCCCTCATTATTTTTAGGGTGAGGGGGGTAGGTAGGGGATAGTTTTTTATTTGTGTGTGGGGGGGGGGTGACTAGGGGCTTGGGGACCCCTAGTCACTTTGGCGGGGCGGTATTTTTATTTAGGGCCCCCACCCACCTGGTGGGAGCCGGTGGGGAGGACAATAGGTGTCCCCACCTTATTGTTATTTATTGCCCTCACCCGCTGCGCAGGGGTGGGGGCTGGGGGGAGGACAGTAAGTCCCCCCTTATTGTTGTTTAGGGCTGTAACGGATCGCCTTCCGTTGATGGATGCGCCTGGCGCTTCCTGAGGACTCCAAACACTGCAGCCGACACCACAACCACCGCAGACTCCACAACCGCCGTAGCTTCACTGGAGTCTCGCCGTCTTCCTTTCACCCTGGATGAACCGCCAGCATTCAGGACCGTGTGGGGAAGACCTCTCCTCCAAGGAGAGCATATCCGGAACAAGCTCTTAAAAGAGCTAAGTGATTAGAGCTCAAGGGAGTATGCAGAGCATAGCAATCCCCAGTGTGAATATAGCTGTCCCCTACAAACATGAGTCAAGGCTGCAAGTTAGAGGGTCAAGTCATTCTGTTTATTGGCACCAAAAGAACCTTCTTTTATGAAGGTTTCCCTTAGATAGGACCACCCACAGGGTTTTACAAAACAACCAATCATACACGTACATTACAGAAACACTCCCAGCAATTACACACAAAAATCCTCCCCTCTGCCTGTGATATTATTATGTTGCACAATGGTTTAACATAATTAACACAGGCAGTAAAAATACAGTTTTTATCCATACACTGTAACTTTAAAATGACACATCCAATCTTCATAAAAATTACATATTATTAATCAGCACACTTTAAATATAAACATAACCAAAAATCAGCCAAATCCATCCAAGGGTTAAAAGGTTAGCTGGGGGTCCCTTTATGACCGACCGCAGGCACATTTTCCTGCCCAAAACAGTTCCATAGATTTGGACTGTGCGGCCGGTCTATTTCAGGCTGAAAAAATTACTAAGTCCCATCGCCGAATGGGACTTAGTCTCTGCAGCTGTAAAATCATTGTGGGAGAAGGTAGGGCTCAGCGGTGTTCACGGAAATGAGTAGCCGATTTTAGTTCCATGAATTTGGCTACACATACCGCTGATCTCGTTCAAATTAACAAAGATGGCTGCCGCCACGTGTTCGGCAAACGAACAAAGGCCACCCAGCATTGTCAATTAAGCTGCGGTTAACCGCAGCTTCTGGGAGGTAAATTGCCTGCACACTTCCACTTCTGGGTGGTCCGCCTGTGTGGTACTTGGTTCAGTAAGCCCCATTTACTGAACCAAGTGGGAAATAGCCAGGAACAAAGGGTTTTAACCAGGTCTGGGGACACAGGGGACACTGTCTTAAAGGGGCAGTGTCCCAAACAAGTCTGGGGACACCGTCTTAAAGGGGCAGTGTCCCAATCTTCCCGATGCCCCAACAAGGTGCTTAAAGGGCCAGCACCAGTCCCATAAAGAGTCCATAAGCCCCAATATGCTCACCGACTGTCTTAAAGGGCCATACACACCCAATAAAAGTGCATACGTTTTCACAATCTCCCAGGGGCCATAGTCATGTGGAAGGAGGCTGGCAAATAGGCTTCTCCACAACCCAGGGAAGCAGGGCAATTTGCCATTTAAAGGGCGAGTTACAAATAGCAGTTTGTAACAAAGGCCCCCACAAACCACTCAGGGGTGGGGGCCAGGGGGGAGGACAATAGGTCCCCCCTCTTATTGTTATTTAGGGCCCCCACCCGCTGCGCAGGGAGGGGGCCAGGGGGGAGGACAGTAGGTCCCCCTCCCCACATTCTTATTTAGGGCCCTCACCCACCGCTCTGGGGTAGGGGCCGGGGGGAGGACAATAGGTCCCCCCCTTATTGTTATTTAGGGCCCCCACCCGTCCCTGTTCCCACAATGCTTCCTGTCAGTATTGCTGAATGTCCTGTCACTACTGCTTACTGCCGAACGTCCTGTTACTACTACCAAATTGCGTCCTAACAGAATGAGAACAGTTTCTCCATTCGTGTTAGAATGCAATTTGGAACTATGTTCGTATCGGAATTTCATTCGAATGAATGAAACTCCGATCCTATTCATTGCCGTGGCTGCATCTTGCAGCCGCTTAGTAGATAACTCCCTAATTCCCACGGTCTTAGGGAGCTATTTACCAAAAGGTGGAAAGACCGAAATTGGTCTTTCAGCCACATTTACTAATACTAAGTAAAGATTACTTAGTATTAGTAGTGGTACGTTGCTGCCATCTACTGGCTATTTTCAGTATTAGAGTCTCCTATCTCTTACATTGAAGACTTTATGCCCAATGCATTGCGATCTGTGCTGGGCAACTGATAAAGCCCAGCACTGTTTAGAATGGCAATAGAGCACCAGATCACTTGACAGAATGACTGTAGTTGAGCTTGATTGCTCAGCCGCAGTATTCTCTGTGGATCTAAAGGGCTACATGCAGTGCTGACTTTCAGCATTGCATGAAGCTTATCAAAAGGTCTGGGGCCACTAAAAATGGCCCCAGGTGACAGAGGGGAGGGGGAAGTGGGGGGGCAGTTTTCTAATGATACCTTGATTTCCTAATGTGAGCAGGGATTTAAATATTCCCCATATGTATATCTTTGGGATGCACATGCTGACTCTAATCCAAACCATAATCTGAAACATAATCCCAATTCTAAAATTAATTATAAACCTAATGCATAAACATATATGTAATAAGCCTAATAATACATCTAATACTTATTCTAAACCGAATAATCCATAATTTAATCTTAATCCCAAAGGTTTCCCTCTGATGATATGCGTACTGATATTAGTAAAGAGATTTTAAACTAAAACAGACAGTGCATTGCCGTAGTGTTCTCTGTGGATTTAAAGGACTGCATGCAGTGCTGATTTTTAGCACTGCATGCAGCTCATCAAGAAGTCTGTGGCCACTAAAAATGGCCCTAGCTGACAAAGGGAAGCCCCAGGTATCTATTAATACGTTGATTTTCTGGTTTGAGCAGGGATTTAACCCTCCTCACACTACATTGCGGTCTATGAAGATTTAAATCCCAATTTAAACAGCTGCATGCTGATCTCACTTTGAGCTCTGCATGCAGTTCAGCTGTCAGTCTGGGGCCACTAAAACTGGCCCCAGCTGACAGAGTGGTGCCCCCGGTTTGTAATGATACCTGGGTTTCATGGTGTGAGCAGGGATTTAACCCGGATCACACCAAATTATAACAGTGGGGATTTAAATCCCTATTTAAATGCTTGTTTGCAGAGCTCACTTTGAGCTCTGCAAACAGAGCATCGGTCAGCTTGGGGCCACTAATTCTGGCCCCAGGTAAGAGAGGGGAGCCCCAGAAATCAAATGATACCTGGGGCTCACAGTTACCAGCAAGGAAACAGACCCTGCTGGGAAAATACTGCATGACGGAAATTTTACGTCATGTGTCCTTAACCCCTTCAGGACCGTCGTTGGAAAAATACCCTTGAGGACCAATGACGAGTAATATTTACTTACCTGATCGCCGCTGTTCCCCTGGTGAATCCAACCTCACCACTGGGCATTGGAGAAGACTGATTGTGTCAGGACTTATCTTTTCGGCTCCGTTCTGGCACTTTGGGTATGCGGAACCGTCTCCGCCCCCTCTCTGACGCGGCTCTCTCAAGCTTTATAGAGAAACCGCGCCAGTTTCAAAATTGCTTAGTGATTTCTGTTTGTGACTTCCGCAAACACATTGCCGGCTAAGCTCTTCCTTGATAAATTTGTGTACCGAACCTTGGACTGTTTAAACGGATTTCTGCCTTCTCATCTCCTTTGACCACAGATCGAATATTGGACTTCCCTGCTCTCTCTAATTGCCAAGAACCGGACTGCAAGAAGTTTAACCACCCTCCAGACTCAAACTAACCTTCCTTTGGAAGACAACTCCCAACAATCAATTTAATACTTTCTTTGGGTTTTTGCATTTCTAATGAACTGTAACCTGCTTGCTAAAAAACACTGCTACTAAAACTCTGTTACTAGTACTATTGCTTTATGCTTTCAACTAACAACCTGCAAAATCCATGCAGCCCTAAAGCTACAGTGACCTTCTTAATTAAAGAATTTTAATTTCACACTCTATTAGAAATAAGGAAATTTCAAATCTGCAGTTGAGTTCCACATCTACTTGTGACATAACAGATTGCCAGCCTCCTGCCATGTGACTATGGCCCCTGGGATGTATTGCCCTTTAAAGACATGATTTGGGTATAATGGATTTGTGTTGTGCTGCTGCTGGCCCTTTAAGAACCATCTGGGGACATACTGTGGAGTTACTGGGTGGCCACCATTTCATGTATCAGAGGCACATGGTGAGAACAATGGATGAAGCACATGGTGAGAACAATGGATGGTGGTCATTTTAACTTACAGACACTGTTTGGACTTTTCTACGCGGTGCCATCTCGCCGGTATTTGGTGCACAAAGTCATTGTTCAGTAGTTTTAAACTATACACTAGAGGACACATTATACAGTAATTGTTTTTCTTTTAGCCTGTATATGTTCTGCGGAATCTGCATTAAACTGTATCTTCCAAACTACTAAACGGATCTGCGTGAATTTTGGATATGTGGTTCACCCAGATCCCCGTTACGATGATATACTTTTGAGGTTATTGCATGCTTTGGGGTCCCTGTGATATGTTTTATAATACTGTATTTCTCTGTCTGTGATAATTATATTAACCATTGTGTTCAGTAATCATATCACAGGCAGAGGGGAGGATATTGTCTGGGAGTGTCTGTGTGTATTGTACGGATTGATTGGTTGTATTTCAAAACCCTGTGGGCAGTACTATGTTTGTGGATTGTGAATAAAAGAGGCTGTATGTGCCAGTACAGGTAGTTCTGCTTGACCTCAAAACGAAGTGTTGTCTCATTATTGGGGGAATTGGATTGTATACTGATTGCCAGGAGTGTAAGCTGATTGCATGCTTTTCCTGTTCAGCTGTTTACAGCATTCATATACTTGAGAGCATTCGTATGCTTCTCCAGTTCGGTGGTTGTGGTGTCTGCTGCAGTGCTTGAAGTCCTCAGGAAGCGCTAGGAGCATCCTTCAATGGAGGTACCCAGTCGGGGTGCCAGGTGATGTTACACTAAGTGTATTTTATATTCATATATGAATATAAAAATACACGTATAATTAAATTAAGACACACACACATATATATATATAATAAAATACAAATAATAAAAATACAAAAATATTTTTTTTTCAATTGTTTTATTCATATGTATGTAATTTTATTCTAACTGTATTTTGATATATATAAAATGTCCAATGCTTTCACTCCAGTATATAGCCCGGTGCTTGTCAGCAGAATAGATAAGAATAGGATAAAGATAGCACTCCAAGGACTTCATATAAATTGTGAAAAAAAGTAAAAATATTTATTCAGCAACTGCCACAGATAATCAACTTTCCTCAGGATAAGGGTGCAATACAATTAACACAGTATAAATAATAAAGTAAATCTATAAAATACATTGCATACCCCTAGCTGTGTGGGTCTGTGATGTTTTGAACAAATCAGCCAATAATTCCTGTATAACGAAGTACTCCCTTTATTAATACATATATAACAGCATCTTCATACTGCAACCTTGTTACACAGGGTTTCAAATCCCTCGAACATTCCACCAACTGCCAACAGGAACAGGAAATAAAGAACCAAAAGAAAGGAAGTGCATCATTCACAGCCAACAACAGCCCAACTGCTCAATGCCCATACATCACAATACATACACTCATACACTCACACACAGCCCAACTGCCCAAACATCACAATACATACACTCACACACTCATACACAGCCCAACTGCTCAATGCCCATACATCTCAATACATACACTCACACACTCATACACAGCCCAACGCCCATACATCACAATACTTACACTCATACACAGCCCAACTGCCCAATGCCCATACATCACAATACATACACTCATCCACAGCCCAACGCCCATACATCACAATACATACACTCACACACTCATACACAGCCCAACCACCCATACATCACAATACATACACTCACACACAGCCCAACGCCCATACATCACAATACATACACTCACACACTCATACACAGCCCAACCACCCATACATCACAATACATACACTCATCCACAGCCCAACGCCCATACATCACAATACATACACTCACACACTCATACACAGCCCAACCACCCATACATCACAATACATACACTCACACACAGCCCAACGCCCATACATCACAATACATACACTCACACACTCATACACAGCCCAACCGCCCATACATCACAATACATACACTCATACACTCATCCACAGCCCAACTGCCCAATGCCCACAGCCCAAACATCACAATACATACACTCATACACAGCCCAACTGCCCAATGCCCATACATCACAATACATACACTCACACACTCATACACAGCCCAACCACCCATACATACACTCACACACTCATACACAGCCCAACCACCCATACATCCTAATACATACACTCACACACTCATACACAGCCCAACCACCCATACATCACTATACATACACTCATACACAGCCCAACCGCCCAATGCCCATCCATCACAATACATACACTCACACACTCATACACAGCCCAACCGCCCATACATCACAGGGTCCACCTCCCAATCACTGAAAAACGCAGGTAAACTTGACCCTGTTAGCATATTCAGCAGCTGGCGATTATGCTGCTGTTCACCTTTGCGTTCCAGCGGGTGCCGAGGAGATCAGCTGGAACGCAAGGGGGCGCATGGTCTTGTGTACGTGTAACCATAGCGAACAGCCGGTGCTGAGTGTAAGTGGTCATGGAGGGGATATCGAAACACAGGGCTCAGGGGAAGATAATTGCATAATACATAACATGAATAAGTTGCTAAGCACATCATATGAATCAGATCTAGTGAGCATTTCAATAAATACTTGATGCACAATATAAAACGTACATTACATATTCAGGCAATCCATTGTGAGTTGTGAGTGCAGTAGGACCGAGTCCAAATTGATGCTGCATGCCGTGATTATAGAACAAAAAGGTAATGGTTCAGCGCTAAACAATCTAAAAGAAACTAAAACAAAATGTAAAAGCAGCAACCTATAGGAATGAGGTCCCTCTAAAAACCTCACATGGAATAGGACAAACAGAAATGGGTATATAGGTCGCGCTAAGGGGACAAGGAGGTAAAATAAATGAAATAAATAAAAGTGATAAAAAAGTCCCAAATATAAATAAACCTGTGTTGTTCTAGGAGAGTATACAGTCCAAATGGATATCTGAGTCTTCTTATGTTGAGGATGTCTTGGAATGCTTGTCAATACGTAGATGCATAAAAAAAGAAGAGGAAGAAGAACTCCAATAGTGTAAAATGTCGATAAAGTTTCCAGGTATGGATCTATAAGTAGGTAAATGACTCACCTTGGCGTGAGCAAAAAAACCTTGCTCAAGTGTTCTTAGCGTTCAGTGGCGTCAATCCCCCACTGGTAGGATATAGGCGATGGGGTCCTGGACAATTCCTCGGTATATAAAAAATGAGAGACGTATATAGTGCTCACTGATGTTTATAAAAACAAATAAAAAAAAGGTAAAATACTTACATGTACATGAGCAGGAAATACTGCTCAATATGATGGCGCAGGTGGTACAATCCCCACCTTAGGATTCTTGGAAATTGGCGTACTTCAATCCAAATTGATGACCAGGTAATTCAAATTAAAAATATAAAATAAAAGGAATTAAAAGTATATAGGCAAAAAATAAGGGCCAGTATTCCTTTATTAAAATATAATTTATCAATATATATAACAGACTTTGTAATAGCCAAATTAGCTATTATAAATTGGCTATTACAAAGTCTGTTATATATATTGATAAATTATATTTTAATAAAGGAATACTGGCCCTTATTTTTTGCCTATATACTTTTAATTCCTTT